GGTACGACTGAGGCACCCATATCGCTACCGGGAAGCCGTATGTTGCGCCGCGAAACGTGACCGGCAGCGTGCCGCTGAGAAGCAAGAGAAGCGCCGATGAGCCATTCTCGTACGTATATGGTTCCGTCTTTGGTGAAAGCGACGGGTCTGGATGTTGGTGTAAAGTTAGTATAGCTGTCGTGAAGCTGCGACGCATGTGACGTACAGTTGGACAGTGCCTCGGCCGCGTCGTGATATGTGCGATTTACGTCGGAGTATTCCTGGAACTTGTTAGCGCATACGGTATGTATTGCGGCGAGCGGAATTACATTGACGAGAACGCTGTACAGCCAGTTGAGGACTTTCTCGCTGGCCATGTTGTAACTGATCGATGATAGCACCAAGTTAGACGATGGCCAATGGAGCACGGTCCTCACCTCTCCCAAGGTGAACCCCTCAACACCTTGGCAATGCCCAACGCCTTGCCCCTCTATGCTACACATAGTTGCCGTGCCGTACGTAGGCTGGCGCTCAGACTTTCACTGAGACATTCTGCGCATGCATCACATTCACGTCGCACATGGGGGGATCTGCCAGAGTGTGTGTACATGCTCAATACATTTCATCATGTAGAGCTATTGCGTATGGTACATTGCTATGTAATCGTGTTTCTCGTAACCGCTACAACGAGCGTGGGCATTGTTGCCAAAGAATGTACGTCATTATATTATACAAGTTCCGCCGGGGTATCAAACAACTACTTCGCTCAATGCTGACTCCATTCGATCGTGTTGAGGTCGACACCCTCCTGCACGAGTTCCCACAGTGGGCTCAACTCGCGGAGGAAGGTAACGCGCTCCTTGACAGCCTTCAAGACGTAGTCGATTTCTGAGTCTGTAGTGTAGCGTCCGATACCGAAGCGGATACTGCTGTGCGCGCTCTCGTCACTGCTGCCAAGTGCCCGCAGGACGTAACTGGGTTCGAGCGACGCCGATGTGCAAGCGCTACCCGAAGACAGGGCAATGTCTTTCAGCGCCATGAGAAGTGACTCACCCTCGACGTAGGCGAATGAAACATTGACACAGCCGGGGTAGTGTCGCTCCCTGTCGCCGTTGAGTGTGGTGTGCTCAAGCGATAGCAGGCCTTCGAGGAGACGGTTCGACAGCGCAGAGATGCGCTTGGTGTCATACTAGCCATTGTCAGCGTTGTCCGAACAGAAAACTGTTGTGACCAAAACAATGTGTGTTAAGGAACTCATAACCCCTGCACATGTGTCAACATGGCGCGTCGACGACCGAAGTCGCCTAACGCTCTGAAAGCCATGCATGTATAAAGCAAATAATCATAGTGTTCGTGATAGTAAAGGAAGAGAGTACGTACCTCCATCTCCTCTTTGCAGATCCGTGCGGCTTCGCCCATACCGATGGCAAGAGGAGGTGCTAGTGTGCCACTTCGCAGTCCTCGCTCTTGACCACCGCCGCTGATGATGGGGTCGAGCCTGACCCTAGGCCGTCTTCGCACGTAACATGCGCCGACGCCCTTGGGACCGTAGATCTTGTGGCCTGATATCGACATCAAGTCGACATGCATCTTGTTGACGTCGATTGGGATCTTGCCGACAGCCTGCGCCGCGTCGGTGTGGAAGAAGATCTTCTTCGACCGGCAGAGCTTTCCGATCTCTTCAACGGGTTGTACAACACCGATCTCGTTGTTGACAGTCATGATACTGACAATGGCGGTATCGGGTCGCATAGCGGCCTCGAGCTGAGCCATGTCGATCAGGCCGTTGTTTCCTACTGGCAGGTAAGTGACGGAGAAGCCCTCATCTTGCAAATGTCTACAGCTGTCAAGCACACACTTGTGCTCGGTCTGTGCTGTGATGATGTGCTTCTTCTTGCCGCTACGCCCAAAGAAGCGAGCTACGCCCTTGATACTCATGTTGTTACTCTCGGTCGCACCGCTGGTGAAGATGATCTCCTTGGGGTCTGCACCAATGAGGTTGGCGATGTGCGCGCGGGCATCCTCTACGGCCTTGTCGGTCTCCCAACCGTACGCGTGGGTTCGCGAATGGGGGTTACCGTACATGCCGGTCATGTATGGCATCATCTTGTCTACTACTCGTGGATCCATTGGGGTCGTAGCTTGCATGTCTAGGTAGATAGGCCGTGAGCCCTGATCCATGACGGTTGCTTGCTTGAGTATGCCTGAAATTGTCAGCTTCGCGGAAAGCGGGGTGGCGTGAATTCTGGCCTACCAGCAGTCGGACTCATCATGGCATCAGCGCTCATGCCTGTTGTTGGCATGGTCGCATCCTCTGCTCTTTCTCCCGTCTCGTTGAGGAAACTCCGCTGCTCCTTCTTGATGGCTGAGTCGAGATGGGAGGCGTTGGAGACGGTCGCCTGCGCGGGCTTGGACTCTGAGACATAGTGACGGCGGATGCTCGAGACACGGGAAAAAGCAGATGAAGGGTATCGACGAGAGGCAATGCGCAGGGCCTGCCTCGCGACGGTGGGTGCAATGTTGGACATGGTGAGAATTGGAGTGTTGGGGTTGGGAGAGCAAATTGCCTCCCGAGGTATTAGAAGCTATGAAGTTTTAGCGCACGGATCTGCTTACTAAATGGGCCCCCAGCGTTCACGGCCACATCGTCCACTCGTCATGCATGGTTCATTGTTTGCCTGCACGACAAGATAGTCGTTCACGCGACCGCGCGCTGTCCTCAGCTTTTGGCCCTGGGTTTCTCGTGCACTAGCCGCAGCGGATCATTCACTCTTGGCGTGAAGTAATTGCACTCGTGCTCGTTTTCGCTCTCGGCGCTCCGCGACATCCGGCAGCCGTGGGCAGTTGGCTGGCATAGCCACAGGCGACGTCATCGACGATTCTAGCAGCCACGCCGGCGCCCGCATCGTTCGGCTGCTTCCTGCTGGCTTACATCTGCAGTCTCCACGGCGCCTCCTGATCCCTACTGTGTATCAATTCCCAGCAGACTTACAGACTTACCCCCACCATGAGTTGGAAAGGCCTAACAAAGACCGTCACCCGGGTACGACAGGCGCCCTCACACGGCCTTCGGGCATCAACACGTGCTAACATGATGGTTTAGGCGCCCCAAACCTTCAAGCAAAGATTCAACCTCGTACGTGTTCTGCGAAGGCCTCCAGGGGCTCTCCCCTCTACGCGCCTGCTTCCGAGTACGTTGGGCCTTGCTAACAGAGCGTGTAGGGCGAAATCACCAAGGACCCCATTTACACCGATGCCGAACGCCGCTTTCAGGAGCTGGAGAAGGAGACCAAGAAGCTCCATGATGAGTCCAAGAAGTATGCGCCTGTTGCGACACAGTCCTAGTTGCGACCCTGGCTAACATGCGACAGGTACTTCGAAGCCATAAATGGTGCGTAAACAACATCCAGCCCCACGCGATTCCGCCTAACCCACTTCGCAGGCATGCTCTCACATCAGATGGAGTTCTCGAAAGCGATCGCCGAAATCTACAAGCCCATCTCCGGCCGAATGTCAGATCCCGATTCATTCCTCGACGAAGGCAACACAGCAGGCATAGAAGCATGCGAACAGTACGAGACAGTGGTCAGGGAACTGCAAGAAACACTCAAGCCCGAACTCGAGATGATAGAGTCCCGGGTTATTCGCCCGGCGGACGAGCTGCTAGTCATCATCAAGGCCGTACGAAAGATCGCCGCCAAGCGCGACCACAAGCAACTCGACTATGACAGACATCGCGCCGCATACAAAAAGCTCGAAGAGAAGAAGGACAAGACTCTAAAGGACGAGAAGGCCATGTACAAGGCCGAGAACGATGTGGAACAGGCTACGCAGGACTACAACTACTTCAATGATCTGCTCAAGGACGAGCTACCAAAGCTGTTCACGCTGGAAAGAGAGTTCATCAAGCCTCTATTCCAGTCTTTCTATTACATGCAACTGAACGTCTTCTACACACTGCACGAGCGCATGCAACGGCTCGACATCGGCTACTTCGACCTTACTCTGGACATCGAGGCTGCTTACCAGAAGAAGCGTGGCGACACACAAGAGGAAGCGGAGAAGATCTCCATCGTGAAGTTCAAGACTACAGGAGGGGCTCGTGTCGCTGGTGCACGTCCAGGCCAGTCAAAATACGCAACGAAAGCTCTGGAAGCCAAGGCAGGCCGAAGTTCAATATCGGAAGAGACGGAAACGCCTCCTCCACCCTACTCTGCTGGGCCTTCTGCAGCTACTGGAGATGTCAAGTCCCCGACGCTATCAGCAGGCTCATGGGGCTCTGCTGCCAAAGCCAAGGGCGCGCCTCCACCGCCAAAGCCGAAGCCATCACGTCTCAGCGGTGTTCCGGCGACCGAAACCGTTACGGCTCTCTACGACTACGAGGCGCAAGCGGAAGGTGACCTAAGTTTCCTGACTGGCGACGTCATAGAAATCGTTTCGAGAACGCAGAACGATAACGAGTGGTGGATTGGAAAGGTACGGGGGAAGCAGGGACAATTTCCAGGTACGTACTTTCATTCGTGTGGGGAGGGAATATACTGATCAGATTTCAGGAAACTACGTCAAACTGAATTAGGGATTCAGTCCCCCATCTCCCACCTTGCGGTTACGAGGCCACACATGTTGAAGAATGTGTCGCCAGTGTTGCGTTTACAGCATCGTTCGGGGTTTACGTTAGACTTCCGTGCTAGATTTAAGCGATCAGCACATGTATTTGCATTGTTCAGACTAATCTTCAATCCTATTCTGGGTACCGTCCATTTCAATTTGAGTATTTCCATGTCGCAAAGCTCCTGTTCGTATTTGGGGTTGCTAGCATACGCTGTTGGAGTGGACTAGCGTGCAGTAGGCGGTGATCTTTCCGTCGCACCCCGCATGACGTGTGCCGGAGACATGGAGCAGTGGAACCCCTGCAACCTCGCGAACATCTTCAGGGTGTCTTAGAGTAATTCTTCCAGGCCGCGGACTTCTTCGAATCGAACAGCGACCAAACCCAAGTCCTTTTGTATGCTACATCCATCATGCCCTACGAATCAACAATCACCTTCACGCTCGACACAATATGCCCCTGGTACATCCACCCACCCTCCGCGCCACACCAACACTTTAACCAACTCCTCACTCTCTCACAGGACATACCTAGCCTTCATCCGCCTCACCAAAGCCCTCTCCGCCTACCGCACCACCAACCCCTCTTCCCCAGCAACATTCACCCTCAAACTAGCCCCTTACCAACTCTACCCCGACGCCAACCAAGAAGGCGTCAACAAATACGAATGGTACAAGAACGAAAAGTACGACGGCAGCGAAGACCGGATGGAGAAGTATATGAATGTGATGCGTGATTTGGGTAAACAAGAGGGGATCGAGTTTGATTTTGGGGGTGGGGTGGTCGCGAATACGTTACATGCGCATCGTGTGTTGCAGTGGTTGCAGAGTAATAAAGGGGATGGGGCTGCGTTGGAAGCTGTGAAGGAGCTGTATACGCAGTATTTTGAGCAGCGCGCGCATCCTTCGAGTAGCGAAACGTTGGTTAAGGCGTGCATGGCAGCTGGGCTGGGTGAAGAGGAAGCGAAGAGGGTGGTAGAAGATAATGATGAGGAGTTGAGAGAGACGAAAGCGGCAATAATGGAACAAGCCGGGAATGGGGTGGATAGTGTGCCGTATGTTATTTTCGAGGGCAGGAAGAGGGACTTTACGCTTGTGGGGGCGAAGAGTGTGGCGGAGTATGAGAAGGTGCTTGGGCAGGTTGCTAAGGAGTGTGCGTGAGGGTGTGTGGTTGTTACTACTGAAACGGAATTAATGTTCTTCTTCCTAGTCTTGCCAATCTACAGATGTCTCCATGGTATAGTGAAGTTTCTATGTTGACGATACTTCTGATTCGAGAGGACCTGATTGGATGGGTGCAGATGTATTTCGGAAGTTGTCAGGCGCTCGGCTGCTTCGCGTAAGGTGTGGTGAGGGAACGTCATTGCCATCCTTGAACGATCCGAGTATCAAAGTAACCACGATGCAGCGAGGTACGTCACTGGTCAGTGATCACCATACTAATCATCTGGAAAGTACCTGGGTACATCAGATCAGCGTATCCCGTATCCGATTCGACCCGTTTGGCGCTATACTAGGTCTGCTAGGCTCGAACGAGATAGTTATGCGAATATGTGGGTACATGATCCCGAAGATAGCCTTGCTAGATTCTACCCGATGTATCGCGGAATTTATCCCGGTGCTATATTCCTTACTCCAAATGCTCCTGGTCTCTTCGAAGCATGTCTGGTGCTCTACGTCCATTCCTGGGCAATGAACTCGAACTGTTTGGTGCTCGATTTCTTCGGAACGTTTATCAGACAACAGTGTATACTTTTGAAGAAGCTAGCTACCAGTTCTCCCAACCCGTATGTTTGTCCATATATCTGGGTCAATTCATTTGCTAAACGTAACGCTACGTGCACTACTTTCCAGGCTACGATGGAAAAGTCAAAACTACCTAGGTACAAGAGGCTATGCCGCGGACATGAAGGCCGCTTTTCCAAACGGCGATCCTTCTCATACCCACAACTCTCTAGAGGGTGTAGGACTGCATGTTAGCGTCGGATGCAGCCATCTTCTGCATGCTAACGGCAATAGCGGGTAATCCCTTCTATACGACCGTATACTCGCGGAACCAATGTCGGGAGGGAATGTACGAAGCAGACCAATTGCGCAACGGACTATACTGAACTTCTTGGTCTAGAAAGCTTGTGTTGCTCGTAAGATGCTTGTTGCTTTCCCAAAACGACCATCATGATCAACGGGTGTACATGGGCCGCACCACACTGGCCTTTACTGGCGAAACTGAACATGGACCAAGCATTGGGTTGAGGAATGACCACGTGCTGTACCGAATACTTGAGTGGTACATTAGAACGACTGGCGATCTTGGATTAGTAGGTGGCCTTGCAGATTGAAGTATGTCACTAGATGTAGATCTCCTTGCACGTTACCACGTCAAGTGCACTCTGACGAGTTGAACCTTTCGTACCTTCCATCTCAGGCTTCATCCATACACGTCTTTTGTAAAGGGCAATGCTCATTGGACCCGCGAGGTCGACGGTGTGAAATATCCACTTGATCCCTCGACGGAGAAGCATACTCCGTGTAGATCACATATGCTGCATTTTATGGGGAAAGTGGGTTTCACGGGGAAGAAAGACGTAGGTGGCATAATATGAGATGAAAAGGTCTGATCGATCGTCGATTTCGAGCAATGCTGGCTTCACGGCCAGCTATAAAAGGAGGTGCTCGACCGCGAATTGATGAAGCATCTCACAGCAAGATTGTATCACTCTCCAATACAACCACACGATCAAGTATATCAGCTACGACAAACCAACACACGAAAACCGCCATCATGCAGTACGTTGTCCATGCAAGGTCTAGAGTGTACCCATCGCTTACTCGAGCCCAGATTCTCAGCAAACTCACTTGCGATGCTACTCGCAACCGCCATCACCACCACCATGGCTGCACCCACCAACAACCTCGCCGTAAGTGTCACTTCTCAACACAAGGCGACACCCTTGCAAACTCATCCTACTAACCTTCCCCCAGCTCCGCCAAGACGACGGCGTAACCCGCTGCAAAGTCGAAGCTCAAGCCTCGCACACCTACGGCGGCGGCAGCTACTACCAAACACCTGTCGATATAACTAGCGGAACACTCTACTGCTACGACGTCAACAACGACATTGTCTACTACAACCACGATGCCGACGTGGAAAACTTCAATGGCGCTACCAGTACCGTCTCTGCAGGAGATTGCCATACCCTGGGCGATGTTACGTTCCACACTGCGTACAATAGCGCGAGCAATCACTTTGAGATTTGCTCGGTTAACTATAATGGGGCGGAGACTCAAGGTGTAGTTACTAGTAGCAGGGATCCTGGGACGGTGAGCGTGTCGACTTCTTATTGTACTATTTATATTCCTTGCTAGATGTAGAGGGTACCGAGGTCGAACATACCTTTCAGAAGAATGGCTGCGTATCCGTCGGTAGTAGATATGAGGTGTTCGCACCAAAACCAGTGTTGAATGAAAACCATCATGTCTTCTCATCTTCGTATCACGAGCTGTTCATATTGCTCATTTCGTTCGCGTAACCAAGTCTACCGTGCTTCGCTATCAGAGAAGTGAATACATTGTAGTGTTTCAATTGAGCGTTTGGTTCAGCTACCCCACTGCCCGTCGCCAGAATGCCCGCATTTTTTGAACCAACCGATCCCCAAACTCGTAAAAGAAAAAGAACAAAGCGACGACTAAGGAAAAAGCTTGATCCCATTCTCCAATTGCCTGTGGTGCACACGGAATGACGGAGCACGATTTCTTCACCACTACATCACTGTTGAAAGTACCCCAAAGTGGGAAGTTAACAAGCATCGGAAACAGCAAGGCGGTGAAAGAAAACGAATGATCCTGGCCATCATCATAATCGAGTGGCGTGATTTGGATCATCACGACAGATCCGACCATTATAGCCACTACTGTAAATAGCATACCAAATAGTGTACCATGACCGACCATAGTGTTGTGAAAGAATGGCCAAACCAAAAAGTTGATAAAAAGAGGTAATAGCAGGCCCTTGCTGATGCACCGAATGCGATGTCGGATATCGCTCTCGGTGCCGGTACCCTGGTCCTTCTCCGCTGAACAGCATTTTTCGATTTGCATAGATGCATGTAAGATGCCGACCCGTACTACCGCTAAAGCCGCGAAGAGGCTCTGCAACTGGGCGTCTTCCATATCCCGAAAACCCCGGTTTCGATCAGCTCGCCACATCTGGCGTAAAAGATCTATAGCGGCCCAATTTGTGTACAGAGCGTAACTGTGGTAGTGAAGATTGTACTTGTAGTCGTCTCGCCAAAGAGGTATCCATGAGGCAAATAGAGTAATTGCCCATGCTGCCCATGTGCCAGGGCCGTAGAAACCGCTGATTTGGGAGTAGTCGGGGGAGGTTTCCGACATTTCGATAGACGCGTGAGAGTGATACAATATTGCTGTGTTGTCCGGGGAAAAGATGAAGGCAAGAGTTTGCTATCGGGTTCGGAATCTCGTGGAGATGGCTTCGATCGTGGCTTCGATCGCCGTGGTTTGATAAGGTTGTGGAATCTCAATGACGAGCCTGAATCAAGATCAGGCCCGAGTCTGAGTGAAGGGCGCCCTCTATCCTTCGTTGACGTGGTTTTGAGAGGGTTCAATGGCCAGCGTGGAGTGAGATTAGGCTGCAGTCTGAGCATAAGCGAATGATAGCAAGACTGGTCGTCGGGATGCGGCAGGTGCAACCATGAGTAAAACACCACTTTCTCAGATCTGCGTCGAAAAGCTCAAACTGTGCGAACGTGGATATTAGACACCTACAACATGGGGAGGAGGCGGTGATAGGAAGTAAACACAATAACGTTCGCCAGCGGCGGTTAAACTTGATGAGAACACGCTTGCGCTCAGCCACATTCGCCAAATCGTGGGGGCCGTTTTTAAAGTTCATTAGCCTCGAACAGCCACCACCAAATCGCCAGTCAGTAGGGAGAAGCCTTTGATGGAGCGTAAGTCTCGGAAAATAATTGTAACGTAGCTATCTTCGCATCCCCATCCATCACGGCCTAAGCCCCTCCGGCGACCCCTCTTCTCTATCTTCCTCTCCCCCTCCCCCTCTCCTCCTCATCCTAAACCACCCCCCAACCCCCCCTCTCCCCCTCCCCGCTCCCTCCATATCCCCATCCCGCTACCCCATCCCCACAACAACCAACTGCTCCCCCTTCCTCTTAACAATCCAATCAACCTGCATATCCCTCTTCTGCGGCCCCTCCTGCGGCCTCCCCTGGAACAGGCCATCCGACGGCGGAGAATGGTATCCAAGGACAAACAGCACAAGCGGCTCGCACAGATCCGTGATGAGTTTGATGCGCAGCAGCACGGCGAAGTAGATCAGGATGAAGATGTTGATGAGCAGTGTGAGAGCGAGGACAACAAGGAGCGCTTTTTGGTAGCTCTTTTCGCCGCCGGACATATACTGTGCTACACGGACGGAAGCGTTGAAGTACTGCATTTGGGGGGTGTTGAAGTCGTCGGCGGAGGTGGGGGAGAAGGGTTGGAAGGGGAAGTTTTGGGTTAGGTCGAGGACGGTGCATGTTGTCATGCTTAGGAGTGCTTCTGCTGGACTCGGTAAGGTCTTGTTAAGTTTGGGCTCTGTGAGTTGGAGTTGGGTGAATATGCGTGCTGTTGAGGCGTCGCCGTCGAAGACTCCGTTGTTTAGACTGAGGGAGTTGAGGAGGTTGAAGCCTAGGTCGCGCCAGCCGACTAGCGCTGTTCTGTCGTCGGTGGAACGGAGGGGTTGGATGGCGGAGTCGTCGCTGTGCTTTCCGTTTGCGTCGTCGCAGACGGCTTCGAGGCTTTGGCCGCCGGATGATGCGTTGTAGCGTGTAGTGCAGGAAGTCGTGATGCCGGCTTTCATGGAGCAGAGGAAGTAGTCTTTGGTTGTGTTGTCGGGTGCTTTGCCGAGCAGGTAGACTTCTGGTCGGTCGCCGAGCTCGTAGGGTACTTGAGTGTGGTTTGCGATCTACCCAATTAGTCTATCGTCTTCCGATTGGGACAGTCCCACTTACCGTGTTTCCTGCTTTCGGGTACTTGAGAAAGACTATGTGACGTTAGTACATATCATCCATGCAGAGGACTGGACTAACTTGGTCTAGCACGCGAGTGATCTTCAGTCTCGTCCTTCCATCCAAACACATCGTCAAGCACCGTTTTGTTGTTCGTGTTGGTACCCTCTGGAAATCCTAGAATGGGCCACCAGTTGACCGACTTCGAGCCTTCTTCCATGGGAATTGCATTGGGCCAATTGGTATATATGAGTGGAGCGAGCTCTTCCTCTTTGGCATTGACACAAAGTGCGTTGAGTGCGAAGCTGGCGACTGAAGCGTGGATAGAGTATGAGCCACCATCATGCAGATCCTGAAAAGATTAGTATGGTATGAATCTGGCATGTATGATCTACCTACTTCTGGCTGCAATAAGTCATTCTGGACATTGCGAGCTGCTGCCGGTATCCCACGGTGGGGGACGGCTATAGTGATGTTGTTGACTATACCAGGTTAGTGGCGTAGGATCAGAGGGAACTTCGGCCACGTACTTATCCTGCCTGCCTTTTCAGACTCAGTAGCGACATCATGATCATCAAGCCACGCGGTAGTGACAGTGACGTTGTTGTCTAGCGACGCACTGATCGGCTTTCGTTCCAGAAGGCGCTCAGACATCCAAGCAGGGTTTGTTGCAGCTGCTTGATCGTCCCATGCGGACATATATTTGATAAAGTTGCGGCCACAGAGCGAAGACCACTTCATGGCAAGACATGTGCTACCGCCCCATTGTGTGTCGCCGACATCAGGCCAGGCAGTGAGACAAGTCCTATCAGCTTTCAAGGTGCTGGAGAAGTCGCCATCTACTTGACCAGCAAGCATTTGATGCTCCCAGGGCGGGAGGCGTAGCTGTGGTTGCACTGAGATGTGTTAGCGACTCGTGATAGAAGACCAAGGGTACTGACATACCAAGAGCACCTGCAGCGGTTGTATATAGTAGAGAGAGAATGGCCGTAATCAGTGAGAGTACTCCCAATACACTGAAGCCAGCGACCCTGACGCTGTGCCACCCGCTGAATAATTTCCCTGGTTGACTTTCCAAGATCAGCCAACGTGAGCGCTGGCCCGAAACGCTGTCAACTTACAGAATCCAGGATCGCATCGAGACACTAGCCAGATTGATGCCTTTCTGCTGAATAGCTCTTCGCGACAGGACCTGCCCTATGAATGCCAAGAATACCATCACGAATGACAGCTCGACAGTCTTGGCGATGAAAGCCGTCAATAGCGCCGCCGAGGAAGGGGAAAATCGCCCACGTGCTGATACGACATGTCCATATTTTGGCTGTATCAAGGCGACGATGAAGAACAAGGCCGAACATAAAGTCGAGTATAATGACGTCAATAGTAGTGTTATTGAATATCCACTTCGTTGTGGTTCAAGTAGGCCTTGGGTGTACAAAAGTGGTAGCATGCTCCTCGAGCTATCTAACCAGATTGAGCATTTCACGCAGACAAATCAGGGGGGTCGCCTTACTTTTGGAGTCGGCGGTGAAGCTCCTCATGCTGCGTCCATCCGCTGGACTAAGGAAGGGGTTCTCCGCTGCATCGTCTCGTGGGCTCGCCATGCTGTCGGGATGATGGCCGTAACCAAGACCATGGACGACCCGCTATATACGCGAAGAGAGTCTGAAAATCAAGGATAAGCGAAGGATGGGGCGCAGGTCGCAGATGCGGCGCGGTGAGGTGAAGCAGGTTATGATTATTTTAGTGGTTTCAGAGCGGCCGAGCGGTCGTCTGCGCCCCACGTCAGCGCCGTTGATCGTCTAGCAGATCACATTATCGGATGCGACGGAAACTGAGGAATACGATGTCAACCATCTAAATGCCATTATTTCTGATCTAACATGTGCTTGAACTTTTCGATCTGCATGATTGTCAGCAAATTTTGCATCTCGAAGTGTCGCAATCTGGCGTGGGCTCACCTTGGTACTAAGATACTTCTCGACTTCTTCGCTCTTGATGCCCTTCATGCCGCCTGTTTTCCAGGCAAGCGGAACCATGGCGACGCGCTCCCTCACGACGACTTCTCTATTCGGGCCCTCGACAGCATGGACTTTATCTGGGTTGTTGGTCAAAAGTCTAATCCCTCTGTCTCCGTCTAAGCCCAGATCCATGAGCATAGCCGTGGCCAAGCCGTAGCTTCGCGCATCTGCAGGATGCCGTAACATGATGTTTGCTTCGTATGTGTCGTTGCCTAGATCTTGCAGATTGTATGCCTTGAGCTTTTCGCCTAGGCCAATTCCACGACCCTCTTGGCGGAGATAGATAATAGCACCACCAGAAGGTGACAGAGTAGGATCGGCCATAAGCCGCGCGGCTTCGTCGAGCTGCTCACCGCAGTCGCAGCGCGCAGACCAGACAGTCTCGCCAGTGTAGCATTCGGAGTGTATGCGGACCATAGGTAATTCTAGCGAGGAAGCGGGCTGTACGTCGCCGTTCTCGGATGATGATGCAGAAGCTGGCGATAACAGGCCGTTGCTCTTATCCACGTGCGCCGAGTCGGCGTCGGGCTTGCGCTTCGTGGGGACGCCCTCCTGCCTCTTGAGCTGCTCAACCCGCGAGCTGGTTCTCCCGGGGTACAGGCGCCCTACGTATGCGCCTCTCGTCATGCGGTCTAGCTCCGTCTCTCCCGGGCGCTCTGCATCCAGCGATCTCGAGCGTATTTGGCTTCCAAAGACAATTGCCAGGTGCTCCTTTGTGTCGACGCTGTTCCTATACACGTGCAGCCACATCTCGTGTCCCGTGGTTGTGGGTATCCGCGCACGCACTTCGCACTCGACTGTGGGCAGCTTGGGCAGCAGGTCCGGCCGCGGCGTGTCGGTGCGCACTGAGGTATCGACTGGTATGGAGCGGGGTGGCCGGGGCCGCGAGGGGGTCGAGACTCCCGGTGTCGCTGGAGGCGTGAAGGCGGGCGATATTATCGAGGGCGGGGGGCTGTGGTGTTCATCGCCGTTTGCGACCCGTTCCGGCGTCTCTGCCTCGAGCTGTGACGTCTGGAAGTCGAAGCCGTCTCGCCCGGCGCTCGAGAGGTGTGGTGAGAAATGCGGCGGGAATGCGGTCATGTTGGAGGAGGGCATGTTGGAGCGGGCATATAAATTAGCACAGGTGACAAGTGAAAGGGCAGGGTAGTCGCTCTAGTACTGCAATCGCATTGCAAGTGAGACTGAAGGCGTGAGTACTCTCCAGCGCCAGTGGGGTCGAATGACTGAATGACATATCCGAAGCCGCTGCTCGGACCCGCCGCCTTCTAGCCGCGGCTGCGCAAAATCACTAAGCACACCACTTGTGTCAGCAATTAGGAATCGGGGTAGACGCTTCCGACGATTATTTCCCCGACTCGGCTGGCTGCCTACCCGTCAAGTCGGAGCAATTGCACAGCTGGTTTTCGGGAGGAACATGTGACTCAAGAATTTCGATTTTCTGACTATAGAACCTTCCTTCACATGCGAACAAATGCTTTACATTGTCCTCAGCTTTGCGTTCGAAAGTGCCTCCTTCTGTGCATCCCAGGCAATTGCTGATTCGGCCAAGAATGCGGCTTCAGGATCTGCGGCTTCAGGATCTTCGGCATTTTCGAGGTAACCACTACGTAGAGAAGGAATTGGCTTAGATTGTGAAGAGATTGCGCGCGAAGACGCTTTGCCGGTGACGTAGCGGGCAGCTCGACCTTGTACCAGAATCGACAAAGTCAGCCCCGTCAACCCTTGAACATCGCATGAATCAATCCACCCGACGCTCTCTACCCCAAACCTCGTCTGCGTTCTTCTTGCCTTTCGTCTCGGGCACAAACCACGTAATGAAAACGAAGAAGAACGCCGACAGTGCCGCGAAAATAAAGTAGACATATCCGTGCAGCTTTGCGCTTGCCAGCGGGAAAAACTGTGCCACGATGAATGTAGCGATCCAGTTGGCTCCGAGCGCAATACTTTGTGTTGCATCGACAGCATCCGGGCCAACCAGCTCGCTCGCTAGGATGAAGGGCACCGGGCCAAGACCAACAGCAAAGCCAGACACGAACAGCAGGACAGCGACTGCGGAAAGTACAGAGATCGACTTGATGATGCCAATAGCAAGTAGCAGCGAGCTCGTTCCCATGATGGCAAGGGAGCTGAGCAGGCAGACCTTGCGGCCCAGCTTGTCAGCAAGGGGCGCGCAGCCGGCGGTGACGATGATGTTGAGTGCTGAGACGGCAAGATTGAGTAGCGCAGAGTTGGACTCGAGTAAGCCTGCTAGGAGCGACACGCCGTACATGACGATGCTGTTGATGCCACTGAACTGCTGGGCCAGCATGACCATGACCACGGCAATGGCGGCCTTTTGGTAGTCGGGATGGCGGAACACTTGCATGATGCTCAGCGTCTGCTCTTTGCCTGACTCCTTGGGCCTCGCCTCGGCCGACCCATCTTGGTTGCTCAGTAGTGTCTGCTCCTCCTCTGGGGAGATATTAGCATGCTGTCCTCCAACGGAAAGGCTTAGACAACATACCACTGACGTTGCCGGAGCCCGAGACTCCCCAGTCGTTCATCTCGTCTTCAATGTCTGCATGTTCTCCCCTGATTTTGCGCAAAGTCTTCTTCGCGAGCGAGACATTACCCTGCTCTGCGATGTACTTTGGGCTCTCGACCGATAGCAGCAGTCCGGCACCTTGTACAGCACCAATGACACCTCCGATGGCCAAGATGAGCCTCCAGTAAGAGTCATGGCTCAAGAAGTAGCCCAGCAACTGCGTGATCAGAATGCCCACGTTGCACCCGATCTGGGTAAAGGCACCAAAGAAGCCCTTCTCGCCCGGCGGTGCAATCTCAGAGATGTAGAGGGGCACAATGACGACGGCCGCGCCTGCACCGACTCCTGACAGCAGTCTTCCAAACGCCATGACTCCAATGTTCGGGCTCAGCGCCTCGAAGATTGGGCCCACGGCGAAGAAGATGGAAAATAGCTGCATAGATCTGAGGCGGCCGTATTTGCCTGCCACTGGCCCTGCTGAAAGCGCTCCTACCAGACCTCCCAGTGTGTACAGCGACCCCACGACGCCCCATTCGGTTGGGCTCATCTCGATACATTGCGGGAGGTTCGGGCCAGCGACGGCCGACGTGATGGACTTGCGTTTACAGCGGATGACATCTTCGGGCGCGTTCAGCTCAGACTGGGCGTGTTAGCTATGCGCCGGCAAGCATGACGTTGAGACCCACCAGGTGAAAGCCGAAGAGGAGCGGGCCGAGAGTCGCAATGGACAGGATGTAGACAAAGTAGCCCGTCAGGCTGCTGAACCACGAACGCGGGTCCATGGTGGGGGTCTACGTTACGTGGTAGAGGGAAGGTGTGAGGTTTGGGGCGCCGTTGTAGCTTCCTGGACGTGTCAGCCGCCTCGTAGAACGTGACATCGCAATGACGATGCTGCACCGCGCCTACCTGTTCAGGCCGCTCAGATAAGAGCGATAAGGGTCTGATTATCACCGCATAGACATGGAGGTTCCAAGACTGTTATGAAGCTTGAGGTTTCACGGTGGTGACATGAGAAGCTCGGGCGAGGACTGGCCGAAGCAAGTGGTTGGGTCCAAGACTGAGGCTCTGCGGGGAGCCATACTTGGTAGGCTCCATCGATACATGATTGGAACCTATTTCTCAACCCAGAGACCCTCTAAACCTCAGGCCAGACATCCTACACATTCTGCGCATCTGTCGACAACGAAGCTCGCCATCTCGGACCGCGTCCCACACGTGCAGGACTCACCGGAATAGTTCCGTGGACGCGTTACGGCCGCGTCGGGCGTGGAGACGTCAGCTAAACGAGAGGCTGAGGCAGATGGCAAAAGCATGAGCCAGCGCTCCAAGTCCCCGCCGGCCTCGTCGGCTTCTGTTGCGGCATCCGCCCGAGCCCCATCGCGCAAGAACAGCACTGCGACAGCTCCCGACGGTACGCCTCTGCTTTCTCTACGTGTCCATCAGTCATCCCCTCCTGTATGTTCGCGTGTCCCTCCCCGTCCAGCCTCCCCTCAAGTCACCGTCGCTTCACGTTGCCTCATCTGGCGCCTCCTGGCTGAACGCCACTGCCTGCGTGATTGTTGTTCCTGCCGTCAGCAATTGCCGTTCGTGTCCGCATCACCCCCTTCTGTTGACGTTGCTGGACCCTGCTGCATCTTCCGAGCTATCATTTCTACATTAGCCCCTAAGAGCGAGTACTAAACCTGTTCCTGAAGACCCGCTAGATTCCGTTGATGCCATGTTCACTGGCTACAACAACAAGAAGCGAGTCACAGAGCGCTACAAGATTGTCGGCTTCATCAGCAGCGGTACCTATGGACGCGTCTACAAAGCCGAAGGCAAGAATGGCCGCACCGGCGAGTTCGCCATCAAGAAGTAGGTGGAGCGGACCTTGACCGCCATATCTGCTAATGCGCCCAGGTTCAAGCCGGACAAAGAAGGCGAACTTCAATACTCTGGCATTTCGCAATCAGCCATACGCGAGATGGCGCTGTGTACTGAACTGGCACATCCCAACGTCGTGCACACCGTAGAGATCATCCTGGAGGACAAGTGTATCTACATCGTCTTCGAATATGCC